TTGTGTGTTGAATCAGTCGCTCCATACTACAACCGAAGAGATCAGCACAATACTCAATTCATCGCTCAAAGATTAAACTCGACTAGTGGCTGAGACTGGATCGTTGGTGGAGGAGCAGATTCGTGAAGAGCGAAGTCTGTTGAAGAGTGAATCGTGTGCCTGGAGACTTGAGGAGAGTTTGGTGGATCAATCTGTGTCAAGAAAGTAACTATGGGTTTCTAGGGTTATGGGAACTGTAATCTAGGTTGTAATCCTTCTTTCTCATAGTGGATTCGGCTTGCCTCGACTAGGTCTATGGTTTTTTTCGATTGGGTTTTCCACGTTAAAAATCTTTTTGGTCCATTGTTTTATTACCTTTATCTGGTTATTGCTTGCATGGATGATGAATTGAGTATATTTAAATTTTTGTTAAATTAGTTAAAAATCAAAAGGAGTGAAATTTGGTAAACCAATCTACAAGACCTATAAGATCACAAGCCTTGCGTAACACTTTACCAGAACCTTGAGTTATAATCCGAACTTTCAATATCAAAAGCTACTACAACATATACTATGCAAACAAGCTAAAGAGTGAAAAATCAATCATCATCCATCTCTCTTTAGCACTTCTCCATAGTCGTCATCTTCATCATTTATCCATTTCACTCTCATTCTCAATTCAATCCAATAGGAGGAGTTGCTTCTAGAAGTTTCAAATCAATGTTTTTTTTTTTTTTTTTTAATTTAAAAAAAAAAAATTTTTTTTTAAAAAAAACATGGATTTGAAACTTCTAGAAGCGACTCCTCCTATTTGCTTCTAGAAGTTTCAAATCAATGTTAAATCAATAATTTTAAAGTACATGCCCACATGTGGGTGTTCGCATGCATGCACGCGCGCGCGTGTGTGAGAGAGAGAGAGATCATCACCAAATTGTAATTGTTTTAAAGGAACATGGACTCATATTTCAAATTCAAGTAACAAGTTTGAGAACACATAGCAGATATTAATGTGTAAAGACTAAGTAAGCAACAAAGTGACACAAGTACACCCAATATAAAATATCATTCGCATAGCCTACAATCAAACATCACACAATATTTCCCAATTAATAATGTTTTACAATTTAGAGAAACAGCAGTCTCTTTTTCTCTTGTTTCACAGGGGAAAAAAGAAGAGAAAATTACTTACAAAAAGTTAAAAGAAACAGGAACACATTACAAACTGAGAGGGGTACAATTTATCAAGAAAAAGAAAAAAAGGAAAAAACTTACAAGAACACAAAACTTACGTGTTGTTTTTCCACTTCCAGTTTCACCAACAATTATCACTGTGCCATTATTTTGGACCTCCTCCACAAGTCGTTTCTCAACTAGTAAAATCAACGATGCATGGTATAAGAAGCAATTTAAGATGCGCATAAGAAACCAAAAACAAAGAACCATGTCAATAGAGAATAAAATTTAGATAATTGGAAAGACTATTACATAAATGATTCTAAATGCCAACATAGTTCAAATCAAGCATAAACTCTTACAAAATATTAATTTTCTACGTGATTTTCTTGCAATCTTATAGCCAATGTCAACTAAAATTTGAAAGGTATCTTACTTATAAAAAAGAAGAAGATTTTCAAACTCTACCATCACAACATTAAATTATCGTACAAGAGAATTCAGAATATTGTGATAGACAAATAATGTTGGGAAAGAGCAAAGAGCAAGAGACATCCTTCACGTCATAGAAGGTAGCTTCCAAGTAAATAAGAAGTTGACAATATTGTATTCTTCAAAATGATCAAATATGTACTCAGACAACATCTAAATTAGTCATCAAAGAAGTGCAATGTGCTTGGAGGTGTAAATGAGTACAGACCTAACCTTTGATGTCATTACAGAAATTGCTGTCGTTTTACTCAAAACCTAGTGCTCTCATGCTCAGCAATTGGAGCTTTCATCATTGCACAGGAAGTATTTGTTTTTATTTGCATGGAGACAGTCCTAATACTATGAACAATCCTTCTTGTTTTATCTTCTCATGTTAGTTTTCATCTGAATGGGACAGTTTGTAGTCTGATTTCAATCTAAGATGATGATCATTAAAATCCTCCAAATATTGTATCCAAGTGACATTCTTTTTTTCTCGTTTCATCCTCAAGCGTTTTTCATTTTCCTTTTTAGTATCATGCTAATGGTAGGAAAAAGAAGCCGCAACTTAGAATAAGCATTTACCTTAGCTAGCTTTGTTTCTATCCTTTTGAGCTGAGATCATCCAATTGGCAAGTGGATATATTGTAATCAACAAAATTCTGGTCAAACAAATTATTTATGACATTCATCAATAACAAAAGCAGGAAAAACTCTAGAAGACATATGGAAGTGTTTACGAAACAATAAACTAAACTTATTACATGCAAATATAAAACCTCAAATAAAAATATTTTAAGTACATTAGAATCCAATGCACCCACCCTCATCTCAAAAGGAAAAAGTGAAGCCACATTGTACATGCTGACACAATCTAAACTTGTAAAAACATTGATCAAAACATCTTTTCATGTAAAACTAAGAAAATTCATAGTGAAATTGCACATTTGGACAAGAATGTGTTTTTTGAATTCTAAACTAGCCATCTCCAATTCCAACAGAAATCTGTATTTAGGTTTAACAAATTTTCAAAGACTTTATGAATGCAATTTATTCAATTCCATATCTTTTGTTTCTAAACTGTGAACCATAAAACCGAAAGCAAAAAAGCTTATTATCCTAAGATGTTGTTGTTGTTGTATCCCCATATCCCTGCTGCAACAACATCCACAAACAAAATGATAATAATATTTTTAGCTCCTCAAAATCAAATATACTTTTTTGTTAAGCTCTATCTAGTTTTGGTATGACCATTGAAATTGCAACCTCTGATGGTGTTACATCAATAAAAGTGGACAATGACAAACTACATAGTCTTTTACCCAAGGCAATCTCAGATTAGAAATTTTAAATAAAAGTACCAAATCAGCTTGCTCAAAGCATTTATCTCTATATTTTTTTACTAGATCTCAGTGAGCAAGTAAAAGTCACAAGTTTTAAAAGGTATCCACAAATTTAGAGCTCAAGTTCACAGTCAGACCACTTGCATAGAAAGTAATAACAATGTCCTATCATAACAATCACTGAAACCAGATTGGAATCAGAAAGAACACTAAAAGTAGCAACAACTGTTCCACCTTTGCATAAGAGTCAAACAATACCTGAAGCAATTGGTAGAGATTTCCTCTGCTTTGCGATCCTTTCACGCCTGTATGTATTAATATGGAATCATATCAAAAGAAAAAAGAAAAAAAATAGAATGAACAATCAATGTGGGTGTTTCTATATATATATATATATATATATATATATATATATATAATGCATGTAGTACAAGAAATAATTTTGCACCTGGTGAAGAAGTCTCCTCTGCTGCCACCATTAGATACTTTACCATTAATTTGATGCTTGCTCTGAGTGAAGTTTTTGATACCGCCATGAACCATTGAAGGCTTAAGCTGCCAAATACTATTATCATTGATGTTAAGATCAGTAACCCTAATTTTCACACAATCAAAATCATATATATATATATATATAGGACACACAAATTAAACTTAACAGACCTGAGGATGCTTTGAAGCACGATGAGTGAGATTCGATGACCGAAGTGAGAGCTTTGTTTTCGAATTAGTTTTCGTATAACAATGTGGAATTGGAAGTAATGACAGTGTATGGGTGGCTATTGATTAGCATAAAACCCTAGGTTTTGCAAGCTGAACTCAAAGCTTGCTTATGAATTGGGAGGGAATCGGTTTTAAGTACTTTTCGACCTCGGATGTCATAACCGAATGGGACGAATCGGACTCGTATTTTTTTTCTTTTTTCTTTTAATGGTAAAAACCCTTTTTTTTAAAATTAAAAAAAAAAAATGATAAAAATTCAATAAAATCTTGTTACACAATCATTAAAATGACGGTGAATTTTTGTGCGAATTTGGATGAAAATTTTAAATCGTAAAAAATGTTTGTAGAATTACTCTTTTTATTTTAGTCACGGTATACTTGTGTCCCAGTCACTTTTTTGGCAAATAATTATCCTTTCTTATTTTTTCAAAATGAGAAAAACATTTAAAATTCTTACAATAATAATAATAATTAATAAACAGTGTAACAACCAAAATAAATAAATAATAGTAAATATGAAAAAAAAAATTTGGAGAAATTATAACTTAAAAATGCTAAAAAGATTGCAATGTTCATAAAAATTTTGGTACTCTGCTTGGGTCTTCGGTTAGACACTATTAAAGTTGAGGCATGTACTTAAATGATACACGTGATTTGCGAGCAATTGCGTGCATCCAAAGTTTACAAACCGAGATTTCAATATGACTAATAAGAATTAAATAAATTCACTACTCCTGAATTTATCGCGGCTTGAATTCGTGAATACATGCATACTTTTGCAAGTTGGAATCGATAAATCTACTAGATTGAATGAAATAAAAAGGATGGTTTTTGTTTTTCAACACTTTGGAAAATATAAGACAACCTTTTTAATTTGCGTACCTTCTTTAGCTTTTCGGTTAGATACTATTAAAGTTGGGTATCTACTTAAATGAAGCACTTGATTTGCGAGTAATTACGTCCATCCAGAGTTTGCATACCATTCAAGATTTCAATGTGTCTAGTGAGAATCAAATAGTTTGGAAGACAACCTTCTTTGATACTCTCCTTAGGTCTTCCATTTGAGACTACTAAAGTTGAGACATGTACTTAAATAATACACAAGCATATGGAGTTTGCAAACCATTGGAGATATCAATATGACTAATAAGAATCAAATAGTTCATGAAATGGAAGACGACCTTCTTAAGAAAAACACAGAGAGTGGTTTTCGTAGATAACTTGGCTATGTAATTGTCTCAGTGCTATCTCATCATCATCAAAAAAGCAAAAACAAGGTCTAATTCACTACAATAACCATTACAAGTCCCCTTAAGGGCACTTATAACTTTGACCAGGCCCTCCAAAATAGAACTCAGGATCTTCAATGTAATCTCCAAGGTAAAAAACATCATAACAATCATACTCATCTGAATAAGCATAAACCCACTCTGGAAACTTCAATTCCTGCGAGTTTTCGCGAACTCGGAGCCTCTTCACACAACCTGAGTTCCCTGAAATGTAGTCTGGAAAGTGGCCACTGCCCATAGCAGTTGCAGTGTGGGGATGTTTTCCTACCCTTGAGCTGTAAACTTCACCTCCCCACTGAACAGTTTCGGCATTGTTTTTCAACGTTCCAAACAAATCCGAAGGCCAATAGCCTATGTTGATTTTCTCTCCATATTGCAGCCACCAATTGCCTGTATTAGGATCCTAAATCCATACACAAAGCGAAATTTCAAATCAGATAGCAGAAGAAACAAGTATACATTTTCATCCTATGTTAACAACCATCTACTACAAAAACGCCAAGTTGTCAAAATTAGAGCCTTGTACATCAAGTATTTGACTGTACATGATTTCCAAGATGGAACAGGATGCTCTAAGTTAACTGTTATGTATATTATCGCAAGTTGGAACTCTTAGGTAGCTTGTAATGTGCGACGTCACTCAATAATTTAAAATGCATGAAACGACACAGTTTAGGGAACAATGTTTGAATACACCATAAAAAATGTCGGGTCCATTTTTTAACAATTCAACTTATGATAACGTAAACAGATTCAACTTAGAGGATCCTTGTCCGAGAGGGATATCTATTGTCTACCATTCAAGAAATCTCAGAGAAGTAATATTCTAAGAGTCATGCCGCGATTGATGAACTAAGGATTGTTTTCATGGAGTTATGCTTGTCTGGACTGGACTCAAACCAGTTCACTGATGAATTGGATTTCTTTTAACAGTTTGAACCATTGAACTACTAACGTTAGTCAGTATCTTAAGTAGATATAGCTTGATTTGATACAAGACCAGCAATTTTTTTGCCTGAACTAGCTGCATTAGTTAGTTTGAATAGGCTAAGGAAGTGACAGACTAATTGCTTGAACAAAATTTAATTGACCGAGACATGAACTTTGTGACTTTGTCTTTTGCCAGTACTAGTGAAGAGTTACTAAAAATTAAACTTTAAGAGAAGCTCGATTTTCTCTAACCTTAAAGATGAAAATGGTTATTTGATATGGAAGACCAGTAGAAGATGAGATGGGATAAATTGCCGCACCAAGAGCAATCTCGTGACTAGTTTGGACAAAACCGGGACAAGTGAGATCGAAGCAACCTGTTGTCTTTGAACCATCAGTCTACAAATGCAGAAAACAGAAACAATTTTAGTGAAGTCACACAATACAGCATTAAGAGTACATCAGATTAGGTGCAATGTTTAAGGTTAGATAACTTACCGTCCAATACACAAACAACCGAGTCTTTCTGTCCCCATACACTCTCGGATTCACCTGAAAAAAAGAAGAAGAAACATTTATGAGTTAAATTGCTAGCATAAAATTGAATATAATCAACAAGAAGACAATGATAATACAAGTATATATTTCAGTATTTATACTAACCGCCCATCCAGACTCAACGCTCTCATAATCATAGTAAGGACCATTTTGGAGGGCAACTTGAGAAGTACTATACTCATCATCAGTTTCAACAAAAGGGTTCCAAACTTTGATATCTCCTTTGCCTCCTGAATAACTGTATCCTTCTGTAAGCAATATTGCCAACTATTCACATGCCACAAAGTTAGACAGCGGAAAAAATAAAAATTAATAATAATAATAATAATAATAATAATAATTGGAAATGTCACTTTTAATTGAGGACATGTAATCGTATATTAAAATTGTAATTAAGCAAAGTTATGTCAATCTTTTCAGACTAAAAATTGGATTTTTTTAGTAGCACGTACCGAATGGTTAGCTTGTTGAAGGTTTGAAGTCGCGTTGTCATTAAGCTGTGCAATGTGATGGAACAATCTCGGCTTCTTCCTCCCATAGTTTTCGGTTGAATTTGATAATTTTGATTTAAGTAAGTCCTTTCGTATTCGTCTTATGGGAATTGTTCCTCTTGGACAGCTTCCATTTCTCTTCCATAGTTGTGATGTCACGGTCACAGATGAGTCTTCTTTTCTGTCTGTTGATCTCTTTGTTCTTGTCGCGGTTGTGTCCATTGTTGGATCGTAACTAGGTGACATCTGAATAAGAAGCATTGCTTTAAATGATGGTAAAGTGTTTTATTTTTTTCGGTTTATAGTTAGAATGTCACAATATTTTCTAAGTAGATGTCAAAAAAAGAAGATTATCGACGATTTTTCTCAACAAAGCAAGCAAACCTGAACAATGTGGTTCTTCAAAGCAGGATGATCAAAAGCTGGCTGCTTGTAAATGTCTATGCAATCAACAATATCTCCATCGTCACTCTACAAAAAACAGCAAGAAATTAAGGAGTGTTTGGTGAAACCGTAACTGGTTGTCAAGTTAAGCACTGAAACTAGAGTCTTCAGTGATGCCACACAGTCTTCAGTGATGCCACACATAGTGAATTTATCAAATTCTGGTACATGCCACACACATACACACAGTGATCCTAGAAACTAAGTGCTGTTGGCCTTATTGTCCCCTGTCCCAAACAGAACACTAGCAAAGCACTTCTTTAACAGATATAATGAAGTTTGTTGTCCAGTGCTAGTTCAGTGACTATAGAAAGTCAGTTTTGTCTTTCACAATAGTAGAAGCACTTTATGGGGAAGAAAAAAGGAGGAGAAGAAATAGTAGGAAAAACCATACCTGGATGCTTTTTACTGCATGTCTTTTACTAGAGGTTGAGTCACCCCCTACAATCCCATAACTTAAACCAGTTAAAGTCATTTTCAACAATAAGATGACCGTCCACTGTAACCCCATTCCCCAGAGAGAGAGAGAGAGATAATATTGTTCTATTTGAAAGCTAAAACAATGTATATGTGACTCTCAGAGTGTGTGTGTGTGTCTAGGTTTCTGCAGAGTGGAAAAATAATTGATTTTGATGGGATGAAGAAAAGTGACACATGGAAACACACAACTCTTGCATGATTTACCTTCTAATCATCCAAATTTCATTTACATTTTGGATTTGAAAGGAGAGACAATGATGAAAAATGTGTTCAGCAATATGATAATAAACAAATCCTAGCCTAAGCTTGCTCATTTACAGAATGACCAATTCTGTTAGATTATGCATGCTAACTATTACATAAGCATAGGTGCCCCGGCTTCAAAAAAAAAAAAATTATTTTATTTTGTAGTTTAATTTATTTTTTTGAATTTTTGAGCTCACTCATAGACTTGTAGTTATCTGTCATCAACTTTAAGTGCTGATTCTGTTTAAATACATTTCCTGAAAGTATAAGATCTCTTCATACCCTATTATGTTTATATATAACAAATGTTAACAATAATCGATGAAATTGATTTCATTTCTTAGAATGCACATAAGTTTTAAGAGTCATGACCAGCCAATTCCTATTTCCTTCTTAGGCTGATGGAAGTCGTGTGCCAACTACAAAAGGGTAGTCTAATGACAAAGAAAATGAGCCCTTGGATCATCAGAAGATGAAATTACACCTAAACAATCTTTCCTTTTCATTTTCTTTCTTACCAACTTGGTTTTAGTGACTAATTAAATATTTTTATTATTAGGTTAGGAAAATAATATGTAGTCCAAAAGTCAGACCCACGTGACTGGTTTGACTGTTTTAATGTGAGTAAGACATGATTTGAACTCTGTATCACAGACTCGTTAATTTATTCATAATGTATCACAATACAACACATTAAGATATTGCACCCTCATAATGTTTTTGTTCATAATATTTATATATTAAATCACAACCCTACCTAGTTTTCTAGAGAATTGAATTTCATTCTTCTAATGTTTCAAAAAATGTCAACAGAGATAATATATATAATCATTCATTAAGAATTTCCCAAGAGTTGTGAGACACAAGGGCTTATGTCACCAATTTTTTTAGTTTACAGAGAGTACTTATGCCGATCCTCACTTCTCTTGGAGGAAAAGGCCCCTTATCCCAAGCCAAGCATAACCTTGCATCAAGAATTTACTAACATTCAATAAGTACCCTCCATAATTGGGAATTCAGATCAATTATTTTGTTTGCATGAATTGGGTTTGGATCAATTAGATGAACTTAGTTTTTTTTTTTTTTGGTAAATCAATTCATTAAAGGAAAAAGAAACTATACTGAGAGGGGCAAAGGCCTAAAGGCCACAGGCCATAAAACACGCTGAGCCACCAGGCCCAACCAAAGCACAAATACAAAAATTGTAGCAGCAATAACAGATAGCATCGTCCACAAACAGACAGATGCACCAACAACAAAGCAACCCCTACAGAGCACTTTCAATCACGGAACTAGGGAGATTCCACGAAGCCGCAATGGTTCTCGCAGCTCTAGAGTCACGAAACTTGCAAGACATAAGACGATTCCGAACAGAATCATAGATCAGCTTTATAACCAAAGCGGTGGAGGCCATTTGGTTCATGTGGAGGCCATTTGGTTCATGGCATTTCTTCTATTCCTCTCACTCCAGATGAAATACACAGAGGTTGTGAGGCACAGCTTGTACACATAAGCTTCTGGTGCCTTTGTTCCATCCTTCCACATGGACGCACTCCAATTGGTTATGTCATATAAGTTGAAGTCTCAACATAGATCCCACACAGGTGTTGGAAGAACATCCAAATTTCAGAGGCAAAACTGCACTTAAAAAAGAGATGTTGATGACTCTCGGCAGTAGCAAGGCACAATGAGCAGTAATTGGGAACAATCTTCTTTGCTAGAGCTGGGTTGTCCCTAGTTTTGAGCCTGTGACTAAGAGCAACCCAAGCAATAAAAGAGAACCTCAGAATGTGATTAGAAAACCAGATGACAGAGTGCCAGGAAATAGATGGGGAAGGTGAAATAAGAGCACGGTAAGCAGTAGCAAGGTGGAAACTACCAGTAGATGAGAGAGTCCATATATGTGACGACCCTGATTTTTAGGCCAGCGTGTCCTATGATGAACCGTAAGGATGATCCGATAATGGATCCGAATGCGGAAGCGAAAACAGAAAACAAGACTCTAAGAAGTCAAAGTGACCTTCCATGAGGTTGTGGAACTCAACAAGAACTGATGCGGAAGGAAAAGATCGAAAATAGGACAAATAAGCCCCCAGGGGCAAAATAGTCATTTTTGAAAACTGTAGATTCGGGCACCAACGAGTACACTGCTGGAAGGACAACGAAAAACTAATCAAGATGGACTCAAGAATCGCATGATTCGGAGTCCAGACGAAGGAGAAATGGCATGACAAAGAAAAACGAGCACTGAAAGCAAAAAGGGTAAACTAGTAATTATCCAGGAAGAACCGAGTGCAACCGAGTACACCGTTAGAAAGACAGCGAAAAATTAGTCAAGTTAAAAAAAAAATTCACTTGAATCGGAGTCCGGACGAAGGAGAAAAGCCCAAAAGAAGAATTGACGTCGCGGCGGCCCGATGAGGGGCCATGGCGCACACGGCGCCCATGCGCAAGCCCACCGGCGCGCATGCCGGCGCCCAAAGACATGGCTGGTGGCAGCCCTTGGCTGCTGCTACATTTTTTTTGATCTTCCCAGAACTGAGGCTTGAAACGGAGGTCAAGACGAGTTTTTCTGGAAAAACACGAAGAATAAACCCCCCCTAAAATCGAGTTTTCTACCCGACAATGTGGACGGAATAGAAAAAAACTCACTGTGAAATCCCCAAAATGCCCCTAGATCAGAACTGAACAAGAGTGTCATAAAGCTGCTAAATGAAAACTGGAAGCTGAAACTTCACGAGGGATTTCCGGTACCAAGACGACATTTTCTGGAAAAACACGAAGAAGAAACCCACCCTAAAATCATGTTTTCTATTCAACCATGTCAAAAGAAGAAAACAAAACTGATGTGAAAGGTCCATAATGCCCCTAGATCAGAATATGCAAAAAAAATGCGAAATGAATTCACAAGAGGCTCAAAACACAAACGATAAGGTTTTGCCCGGAAATGACCATGCACGCAAACGTAACTTACCTATTTAGACGCGCTACAATGGTCCATGGCTTAAAAATATAGCCGATGCAAAATCCGACCCCCAACGGGCAAAAATGCGAAAATGGACTTGGAATGGAAAACATGGAATCCAAAAATGCAAAACGGGATCAAATGACCGTTTGGCCCTTGGCCACACTTCAAACATGATTAATAAGACCCTATGAAAGAATGAAAATGGAATTCCCACACCCGATACAACCATGGTGAAGCAATGAGTTGCGATTTTTTCAAGGTTTTCATAATATTTCATGAAGTTAAAAAGTTGTATAGAATACAATATACATGTCATTGGCCTCCGGCCTCATTTCATACATGTCAAATACATTGAAAGGAGTGCATTTATGTACACATTACATACATGGAATCAAATATACATATTTTGACATATAAGTCTACAAAATGACATTTCATGCTGACATTTGTATGAAATGGAAACTTGAAAGCTACACGACATCCAAGGAATGCTAAGCTTCACGAACCAAGTCTTCGTACCTGAAATATACCCCAGTATCGTAGGGGTGAGTAACATAAAGCTACTCGTAGGAGATGAGCATGCATCGACCTAGCATTTTACAAATTTATCATCTTAAGGTGAAACATGTTAAAGGGGCTCATGCCACCTAACGTCTATGTCCAAGTGAGACTCGGGGAGCATCCTAAGCTACCTTAGAGTCTAAGCAACAAGAATCATGATATACATACGTGTATGAAACGAATCATGGTTGGGATAATCCAAAAAAACACTACAAGAAGAATGCTTGAGCATAGATTAACATGAATTACCATTTCACTCATTTAAATAATATCTGAACCAAAGCACAATCTCACAATAATATCACTTATTTGCCTTCAAGCTCTCACTCTATCTCTTATTTATAGGCACCCAATCCTTGATGGATGGCTATGATATAATCTAACACTTGATTTTCTAGAGATTCATTACACTTCCATATATTTTTACAAATATCTACAACATTCTACACCAGCCTTGAATTTGCCACAAAACTCTATACTATCCTACTTGAATTTGCCACAAAACTCTATACTACCCTAGAAACTCTAAAAACTCCTCATCTTGCCACGCAGTCATCATGCAAGAGAGCGTGACAATAGGCAGCCCTAAACAAGTCATGCTACCATTCAAACAATAAATAAATAAATAAATAAATAAGCCATCTTCAAAATATAAGTTGTTTGGTGAATAATAACCTGGCTACATTGGCCAAACCACTTACTTCCTTTTACAAACAGTCTTAGAGTATTACAATTTGCACTACAATGAGCCTGGGTAAGGGACAATATAGTGATCTATCTAGCCTACTTGTCCAATTCATATTTATTTCACGTTTAATTCATTACTATTTTTATATATATCACCAAATTGGTGGCTTAAATTTGAAATTACAAAAAATTTAGTTAAAATTTTAAAATTAATTTTCTTCCATTCCAAAGTGCTCCAAAACAAAGCATCTTATTACTTAACAATATGAACTAATTTTATTACAAATTTTCCTACTCGAGTTTCTTTCATAATATATAAATCTTCTTTATATTTCTCCTCAGATCTTGCTGGAGCTTGATCGGCTTGGGACTGGGTATTAGTTGTGTCTTTGTTGTTTCAGTGTGCCTGACAAAAAAATAATAATAATAATAAAAAATAAAAATGAAGAAGAAGAAGAAGAAGGAGGTTCACATTTGGATCGCAATGCGAACTGATAGTACCTGGGACAAAATAAATAAAAATCAATCTCATACAACTAAGTATTTAATGGAATGACAAAAATTAACTA